GCAGGAATTTCTGCTCCTTAGTCCCTATTTCCTCTTCTACTGTAAGTAACTGGCCAAGTCAAGGGAAAACCCAGGTTTCCCAGTCCTGAACCTTGAACTAGGATTCACCCCCCAGGTCCTTTTTTCCTGCTCTTTCATGGCCCCGCAAGTTCCTCTGTGATAGAGAGAACCTCAGTGCAAGGGAAAGAAGAGGGAAGAGAGAGGCAAAGACAGAGGTGGCAAGAAAACGTCCCATTCCTTCTAGCTCCCTTTGCTTTCACCTCTCATCAATGTGCCTTCTCTGCCACGGTCTCCAGGCTGAGGCAGGGGTGGAGAAATAGGAGGACTCGGCCACTTTCCATGAGGACCTCCTGGCTGGCAGGTAATAGCCACATAGGAAAATGGTAAAATGTAGTAAGTGCTGTAAAAGAAGTGTGGACATGGTACCATCAGACCTGAGTCTGCACAGAGAAGTGAGCAAGCACTTCTCAGAGATGGTGCCCTTGATGAAGGAGAAATAACAAGGAAAGGAGGGCACTCCGGGCAGAGAGAACAGCTTCTGCAAGCATTCAGAAGCATGACAGAATTTGGAATGTTTGGGGAATTGCCAGTAGATTAGTATGACTTCAGGGTAAGGATCTGTGTTTTAGAAAGATCACTTGGAAGCTGAGTGAGGGATCATTGGAGGAGGGAAAGGCTGGAAACAAGAACGCTTTCTCCTTCAAAAACTTCTACTTACTTCCAAATAAAACCCTATAGGACCCATCAGTACAAAGCAGGCACATAACAGGAGTTTTCTTGAAGAGGGTTGTATTTTCCATGGTTTTCATTCAGTAAGTTTTTATTGAGTATCTACTATGTGCTGAGTACAGAGGGCCTAAGAATGAGCAATGTTTCACAATCCTGTTTTTCATTTTCACTTCTGCCCCCAGGAGCCTTTTTAAACATTCTCTTCCTAATTGCCTCACCCATGAAATTTTAACACCACAGACATACTGTATATATGCTTATGCACTGTATGTCTATCTGTGTATTATGCATAAAAAGAGTAACAACTCCCGCTCCCAAAGAACCAATTTTGGCCCCCTTAGGGGCGATATTCTCCCCATGCAAGTGGTTGGTGTAGAAAATGAAAGCTTCGGGATTCAGAAACCACTCTAAACCTTGTTCTGCAGCTCATAGCTGTGGGACTTCAGGTTAGTCACGCCCCCTTTCTGGCCACAGTTTTCTCATTTACAAATAAGCAGGATAAACAAAGGCTTAGGAAGAATTTTCATGCCAGATCCAGGATGGGTCAGCCCAAGGACAATGGTTCAGTGGCAAACAACAGGGCCTTGGCAGGGCTCAGCCATGGCCAGGATCCAGGACCCTGGGTGCTGGGTTGCAGCTGTGGTGAGGAACAGAGCAGAATCCCTGAGCTCAGGGAACTTACAGTCTAGTGGAGACAGGAAAATCCACTGACAAATATATTTCATACTGGCAAGCAGTGGTCAGCAGCATGAAGAGAAACAAAAGCAGGACCAGGGCCAGAGAGTGAGGGTATGTGTGAAGGTCCTGTGTGTCATATGAGGGATCCAGGAAGGCTTTGAGCAGAGACCCCAGGGAGTCCTAGGCTGAGGGGAGAGCAGGACAAAAGAAGACCAGACTTTCTACCAGACCACTCCATCTCAGACCCCTCCAGCCCCCCAACGAAGACCAGAGGATTTGACAAGAAAGCTTATCACACTCACTGCCTTTGAGTATTGACTCTGCAAATTACTAGGTGTGTGACCTTGGTTAAATCACTTCCCCTCACTAAACTTCAGTTTCCCCATCTGTAAAATGGGGATAATGACTCCTTCCCCACTTACCTCTCAGGACCACTGGGAAAATTGTACAGTAGCCGATAAGAAAGGGGTTGCTGTGGCCATGGGTGTGGTGTGCCACTTTGCTCCGGTGTGTTTCCCACAGTGGAGTGCAGTGACAACCTCTTCACGCAGAGGACTGGCGTGATCACCAGCCCCGACTTCCCCAGCCCTTACCCTAAGAGCTCCGAATGCGTCTACACCATTGAGCTGGAGGAGGGTTTCATGATCAGCCTGCAGTTTGAGGACATTTTCGACATTGAGGACCATCCTGAGGTGTCCTGCCCCTATGACTACATCAAGGTAAGAAGACAGTGGGCATAAGCCCTGGGAAAGCTGGAAAATCTTGGATGAATTGGGAAAATTGACATTCTTGGCCCTCCCTTCTTCCAGGAGAGGGGGCCAAGCAGGTTTCTTCCTAAAAATAATTATTTAAAATAACATCTACCAGCTTAACTGGATCCAGTCTAGGGATCTTCCCTGTTCCCAAACTAGCCCTTTGCCCACCTGCAAAATCCCTTCTGCCAGGTAACATAACATCATCATGAAGTAACACCAGGGTGAAGGTCATGGGGACCGTCTTAGAACTCTGTCTACCACACAGCACATCCTGGGAGCTATGCTATGAGCCTTATCCAGGCACGTAACCTCTTGGGGCTTCGCTTTTCCCCCTTGCCACAGTAAGGCTGACAAGATGAAGATGTACCCAGGATTATAGAATTCATCAAATGAGGGTTAAAGAGTGCTGGTCCTCAGAGGTGGAAGGAGAAAGAGTTAAAGGCATAGGCAGGACCGGGCCTGGGAGCTGGGAAATCCAGACCAGCCCAGAGTGCGTCTTCCCAGTCTCTCCATCCCCGATGCCTCCATCCGAGTGCAAACTCTGCTCTCTTCCGGTCAACTGCATAACTACCTGGCGGGTTTGCTGGCTTCCAGCTCTTGCTCTAAACGGTCTGCTCTTTCATAGAATCCAGGGTAAACTCTATGAAAGCCAGGTTACATCAAGATTGTATTTGGAGTAAACATAAATTCCTCAACACAATATGGTCCTTGTCTGCCTTTCCAACCTCAAGCCAGGGCATTCCCTCTGTTCCAGCCCCACTGCATTCCTTCCTGTTCTTTTATTTATTTATTTATTTTTAATTTTTTTAACATCTTTATTGGGGTATAATTGCTTTACAATGGTGTGTTAGTTTCTGTTGTATAACAAAGTGAATCAGCTATATGTATACATATATCCCCATACCTCCTCCCTCTTGCGTCTCCCTCCCTCCCACACTCCCTATCCCACCCCTCTAGGTGGTCACAAAGCACTGAGCTGATCTCCCTGTGCTATGTGGCTGCTTCCCACTAGCTAGCTATTTTCCATTTGGTAGTATATATATGTCCATGCCACTCTCTCACTTCATCCCAGCTTACCCTTCCCCCTCCCCGTGTCCTCAAGTCCATTCTCTACTCTGTGTCTTTATGCCTGTCCTGCCCCTAGGTTCTTCAGAACCATTTTTTTTTTTAAGATTCCATATACGTGTGTTAGCATACAGTATTTGTTTTTCTGTTTCTGACTTACTCCCCTCTGTATGACAGACTCTAGGTCCATCCGCCTCACTACAAATAACTCAATTTCGTTTCTTTTATGGCTGAGTAATATTCCATTGTATATATCTGCCACATCTGCTTTATCCATTCATCTGTCGATGGACAATTGGGTTGCTTCCATGTCCTGGCTATTGTAAATACAGCTGCAATGAACATTGTGGTACATGACTCTTTTTGAAATATGGTTTTCTCTGGGTATATGCCCAGTAGTGGGATTGCTGGATCGTATGGTAGTTCTATTTTTAGTTTTATAAGGAACCTCCATACTGTTCTCCATAGTGGCTGTATCAATTTACATTCCCACAAACAGTGCAGGAGGGTTCCCTTTTCTCCACACCCTCTCCAGCATTTATTGTTTGTACAGATTGCCAACAAACACATGAAAGGATGCTCAACATCACTAATCATTAGAGAAATGCAAATCCTTCCTGTTCTTGATACTTGCCAGGCTCTTTCCCACCTTTGGCCTCAACCTTCATATAAGTTGTTTTCACTGCCTGGAAAGTATTCTTCCCTCCTCTTCCAATGAGAAGCTCCTTCTCATCCTACATGTTTCAAATCCAATGTCACCTCCTCAAAGAGGCCTTCCCTGACTTCCTATTTAAAGTTATTATCTATTATATTAATGATGAATTATACAAACTACATAGATTTTACTACATAAATCGTAAACATATAGCATATATTTATATTATATATGTACCTCATCCTGATTATTTTTATAATGCTTACCACAGCCTGTAATTATTTTGTTTATTATCCATTAGTCTGCCCCAACTAGGCTGCAGGGTCTTTGAGAGCAGAGGCCTTTTCTGTCCTGTGCACCTGGACAGGGCTCTTCTCCTCTCTGAGCCATAATATATTCATCTATGAGCAGAGGATTATCAGTCTGCCTTGTCCACTTCCAGGGTCATTGTAAATTGTAAATGGGAGAGTGGAGATGGAACCCTTTGGTGAATGGTAATGCCCACTAAAAATGTGAGTGAACACCATGGGCTCACATCGAAGCTTCCAGAAAACCCCGGGTGCAGTGTAGAGACAATCCCTGCAGCAGCCTCTGACACTCAGGTGTGACCCTGCTTCTTCTCTGTCTTGCCCCTCACAGATTAAAACCGGTCCAAAAGTTCTGGGGCCCTTCTGTGGAGAGAAAGCCCCAGAACCCATCAATACCCAGAGCCACAGCGTCCAGATCCTGTTCCGCAGTGACAACTCAGGCGAGAACCGGGGCTGGAGGCTGTTGTACAGGGCAACAGGTAATACGGCCTCTCCCCTCCTGGGTCATACTTGGCTCCCATGCTCAGCCCTCATGGGGCAGTGGCCACGTGGTGAGGGGGAGCAGGCCTGGGGCTCCTCCCGGGATGTGGCAGAACTCCCAACTCTGCCAGTGAGCAGCTTGGGACCGAGGCAAATTCTCTTTACTGACTCAGTTTCCCATCTGTAAAATGGGCGCAAGGGCAGCAATGATGGTGGGTTTGGACTAGATGTAGATTTCAAAACTGGCTGCACTTCAGAATCACATGAGGAGATTAAAAAAAAAAAAAAAAAAAAAAAACTGTTTCCTGAACTTCACCCCTTCACGCTGTGATTCATTGGGCGTGGGGAGGACCCCTCCAGTGCCAGCCCTCCTCACGTCTGGGGCAGGAATTTGGGTGAGAGTCTGTAGCTCACAATGTTTCACCATGGCCGTTTGCCTCCATGTGTCCCCCAGACTGACAAAGCCCACAGGCCTCATTCCCCAGTACCTCAAGGCACTCAGTCCTGGTCCATATACCCTGCTGGAGGTATTTGATCCAACGGGCGTGCAGTAACTCGAGGAAGAAGTGGGTAGACATCAGTGACAAGACCACAGCTGTGTGTGACTAATCCAGTTCAGAGACTATCCTGGACTTGCCTGCATCATCACATTTAGTGCCTGCTTGTGGGGAGAGGCAGGAAGAGGATATTAACAAAGGAGAGTTTGTCCAGGAAGGAGGAATCCTATCCAATTTAGCCTTTTGAAGAGAGGGCTCAGGGGCATATAATCACAGTCTCTCTAACACTTTGAAGAATGGTCTTGGGAAGAAAGAGTGGGGTCATCGTGCGTGACCCAAAAGAGCAAACTATGCCCACTGAGTAAAAATTATAAGGGTATAAATTTCAGTTGAATATGAAAATTCTGTTCCTTTAATCAGAGGAGTCTAGTATGAAAGATACAGGTTGGGAGGTATCGAGCTCCCTGTCCCTGTAGGAATGCAAATAGATGTCTGAGGTCTACTATAGAAGACGTAAAGGGAACATTAGACAGGAGTTGCACTCAGTGACATTTAATATCTTTTCCAACCCTGAGTTTTGGTGAAACCATCTGGCTGACCACTTCATTTTACAAATGAGGAAATAGAGGTCCATGTTGGAAAGTGACCTGCTCAAGTTTCCAAAGTAAGCCTTCTTCAGGGCCTGGTAGGCCCAGGCCCCCATAGCCTGGGGGTATGGTTTCTGTGTGGCTTTTCCACCTTCATCAGGCCTTGCGTTCTAAGGAATGGCCTCTCGTGACCAGACTTTTCTTTGTTTTCTCACCTTCTCCTTTCATTGTTCCCCACCAGGGAATGAGTGCACCAAGCTGCAGCCTCCTGTCCATGGGAATATTGAGCCCTTGCAAGCCAAGTACTTTTTCAAAGACCAGGTGCTCATCAGCTGTGACACAGGCTACAAAGTTCTGAAGGTACAGGGTCCTGCCGGGGGAGGGAGGTCATCCAGGTCAGAGAAATTCTCCAGAGCTTCCCAGGGCAGATGGGCTTCTAGAGCTTGTCCTGGTCCCACCACAGTATTTCCTACCTTCTCCATAAACCTCCAAAATGCATCAGAGATTCCAGTCTTGTAAAAATTCAAAGTGTGTGTCCCAGACTCTCATTTCTGAAAGTGACACAAAAGTCAGAGCAAATCAAATCCATTCAGCCCGACAACCAGTACAAACAACATTAACAAAGTTTGTCAGGCTTCTGGGGGGGACCTGGGATAGAAGTAGAGATTTTAAAGGTGACAGGTGGGCATTGCTTACTCTCTGAAACAGTCGTTCTCCTAGGAACCCCATGGTTAACTTAAAAACAACAACAACAACAACAACAACAACAAAAAAAAAAATCACCTCCCAACCCCACCTGAGATCAATTCAAGCAGAATCTCTCAGGGTGGGGTCGGGTCCCAGTGACTGTTCTCTGTTAAGTTGCCCAGGTGAGTCTGATGTAAGCCAAGCTAGTGGACTGCTGCTCTCAGGGAACGATCATTGCAAGTGAGGACCCCACGACATCAGCACATCACTTGTTAGAAGTGCAAAGCTGTGGTCCCCAGGCCAGACCCACTGATTCAGAAGGGCCCAGTGACCTGTGCAAAAGCCCTCAGGGGCTCAGGGATGCTGCCGCTCACTCAGGTTTGAGAGCTGCTGCTCTGAAGGAGTCACGGGTCCAGGTTTCCCTTCAGAGACAGCCTCCCGGACCCCTTCTTGCACACAGTCCTGGCCTGTCTCCAGAGTAGGAGCGGGGGGATACGAATTCAGCATCTGTCTTCCCCTTAGCTTCAAGCCCTTGGAGGCCCACGGTTGGGAAAGCTCAGGGAGCCAGCTTTGCTGTTCGAGCTGCTTTCACTGGGAAAAACCACAGACCCCACCGTTCCTCCTTCTTCCCATACCTCCTTCATGTTTCTTCCCAGGATAATGTGGAGATGGACACGTTCCAGATCGAGTGTCTGAAGGATGGGACGTGGAGTAACAAGATTCCCACCTGTAAAAGTAAGAAAACACAATCGGTTGATTCTAAGGCTCACGAGCTCCCCAGCACTGGTGGGATCCGAGCAGAGCCCACACAAGGGGGGAAACCTGGCAGGTACACTCTGAACGGGTTAGGGCAGGAATTCCACAGGCACATCGGAGTTGGACAAAAGTTTATTAATGTTTCTTTCAGCAATAAGATGTTAGAATTCCAAAAGGACCTTGTGGGTCCCAGTTTGTTTTCTAAATACTAATTTTACCTCTGCCTGCAGGCTGGTTGCCAAATTTGCTAAAGGAATAGCTTGTTTCCAGGTTCGAAACTAGCTCTGTCAATTGCCAATTCAGGAAACTATTTTGGCACCGGTGCCCAGAGCCCAGTGACCTTGCCAGTCTTTACGTGGCCATCAACTATATCCACTGTCTCCTGGGACAGCTCATGAGCTGGGGCTGTGCAGGAAGGGCTGTGTGGTCAACACAGTGGACCTACGTGAAGCAGGGGGTCCTGTTCTGCACTGGTTCTTGGGACCCAGAGTTCTTGCCTTGGCTCTGCTCCTAAGCCACGCTGTGACCAGGGACAAGATCCTTCACCTCAGCCATAAAGATTTTGGATTAGCTTTAATATTCTAGAATATATCCCACTGGTTCGGAAATAATGTAATCCATATAAATCACCTAGTGAGCTTGTAAAAATACAAATCACCAGCCACCACACCCTCTGCCCCTAACCAGGTGATTTCAATGCAAGACTTGTAAGGACCACAATTTTAGAAAACTTATCTGTGGCAATAGTGATGAGAGGAGGCCCGGCGACAGAAAGGGAAGAGAAAAGAGGGAGGGAGGGAAGGAGGATATATTTTCGAATGGAGAGTGAGGAGTTGAGAATTAGGGTGGGTCCTGCCCAGCCCCATTTCATGACCTCATATAAACTTTAGAGTGTTGTCCTCTTCCCTTCTACTAAATGGCTCGGGTCCAGTAGGCAGGCGGATCCACTCCCACTGCCCCAAGGGGACACTGTCAGGGTGGGTCTCCCTTGAGGCAAATCCCAGGTATAATTTTGGAGCAGAAAGTGCTTGTTTTCAATTTTCTTTTCTATATGATGATGAGGCTGGAGTCAGCCCAGTGTGGGAAATGGGTGCACTTTATGGCTGCAACAAAAAGTCTCAACAGGGCTTCCCTGGTGGCGCAGTGGTTGAGAGTCCGCCTGCCGATGCAGCGGAAACGGGTTCGTGCCCCGGTCCGGTACTATCAACGATGCCTATAAAAATAATAATTGGGCTTCCCTGGTGGCGCAGTGGTTGAGAGTCCGCGTGCCGATGCAGCGGAAACGGGTTCGTGCCCCGGTCCGGGAAGATCCCACATGCCGCGGAGCGGCTGGGCCCGTGAGCCATGGCCGCTGAGCCTGCGTGTCCGGAGACTGTGCTCCGCAGCGGGAGAGGCCACAACAGTGAGAGGCCCGTGTACCACACACACACACACACAAAAAGTCTCAACAGACATTTACTGGATGCCTGTGCAGAGGTCCACAGGGAATTCAGATGGAAAAGACAAGGCCCAGGCATTGAAGAACTAAATGCCAACAGACACATCTGCCACCTCCTGCAACGCGTGGCTCGTGTGTGGTGCTGTGACTAAGTTCTGTGTGAAGCACTTTGCAGAGCAGGGCAAGGAGGCGGGTCTGAAGGACGAGGCAGAGGATGAGGGAGGGGTAGAGAGGACAGGGTGTTGCTTTGGAGACAGGAATTTCTAGATTCAAATCCAGACTCCACCAGTTAAATATGCATGAACACTTGACTGAGACTCATTTGGCCTGAGTTTCCTGCATTCTTGATTGTTCTGTGGCCTGAGTTAATGTACGTATCATACCCATGGAGCACCAGGAATAAGTAAGAGCTCGGTAGAAGCTTGTTTCTTTCCCCTACCCAACCCCCTCATAGGAAGAGGTTTGGTTTCTCTTGGAAAGTAGGAAACGTTGGTAATAATTTTTTGTCCCTGATGAAACACACACTATTATTGTCACGGAAGTATTGATAGAGTAAGGCACTAATGTATCTGCTGGTGCTCTTTTATGTGACGTATGCTAGTATACAAAGGTATGCTGTCATTTTGTACTAAAGAAAAGAGGAATTTTTCCTCCCTAATATGGCCTGGTTCTCCCAGCATAGCCTGAATCAGGACTATTAGACTCCCCAGTCAGACACACCCGGCATCTCTGCTTGTTCACTGAGTAGGTATTTATTGAGTACTTTTGTCCCAGGCATGTGCTGGGTCCTAGGGGAGATGCAAAAAAGACAAAAAAGACTGAGAAGTTGTGAGTCCCCAGGGACTGTGGGGGAAGCAGTTGGGAACAGACAGAAGTGTGTGTTTGCAGTGAAGAAACTTGAACCAAAACAGGAAGTGGGAATTATGGGCTGTGGTTCTGGCCCTGCGTCCACCTTGCTGGGTGACCCCAAACAAGTCCTGCTCTACTCTGATTACATCTGCCAAATGAGGGTTTGGACCAGATGAATGCAAAGCTTGCTGCACAGGCAGAATGTTATCATTGCCATGAGCCAGGATTTATGACTGTGCAAATTCTCAGAATGGTACGCATTCCACAATCCCAAGCTGTCCTTCACACTGGCTGTACCTACACTATGCATTCTTAATCGATTCTGGTGGAGTGATTTCTGTATTTCCTGCAGAAACTGTTTCTGCTTTGCTTGCTAATTTTTCTTTCTCTTCTTTTTCTCTCTCCCTCCTTCTCTCTGCTTCCTTTCTCTTTACCTCCTGACCCCTCTTTGATCTTCATCATGGTGGCAGAAACGGAAATGGATGTGGAGAGCGAACCTGAGTCAGAGCAAGTGGCAGAGTGAATGGCGGGACCCCACACAGTGCAGACATCCAGGAATGGACCACTCACAAGACCCCTGGGTCCCAGAGCTCCTCCATCCCTCCCCATCCTGCCAACACTCCATTTCCCATTTCAGTGCGGATTAGAATGGATGCTGAACAAGGCAACACAGGCCTAAGCAGTTGAAACCGTGGCATATATAACAACTCTCCTTTTGAGGGTTCACCCATCATACAAACATTATGCTAAAAAGATAATGGGGGATTTTTTTTTTTTTTAGCACTTCTATGTGGACTATACTCTTCTCAAAGGAAAAATGGCTTTCATTCTAGAGACATTCACATGGTCTTAGGTAGACCAGGTCAAAGTGGGCCCTGATTTCCACTCCACACTTCAAGTTTAAATGGGCCAGAATGCCTGTGACTTTATGACTTTAATATTTGTCCCCATTGCTACTTTCTTAACAACCATGAGTAGGTGAAACTAACAATAACTCATATAGCATGGATTTTTAGGAAACCTAGACCTATTCTCATGCCCAAGAGTTTCTCTTCCACCTGTACCTAACACAGGGCTGAAATTCCATCATCAGAAGATCTTTCCTCTGGGGTTTACAAATTTTGCATTTCTGAAAATTCCCTAATTAAAGTTTTTCAAAAGATAGGCATCACGCTTGAAAGCAGCAGTCCTCAGCTCTGGTGCCATGGGACATCAATGGGTCATAAATAATGATAAAGAAAGGGCTGTGGAGGGTGGGAATCTCTCCTTCAGCCTGAACAAAATCTGGGTAGACATATCAGAGCATCCCTGCATTACATTGTGACTGCTCAGTCTATTTGCTGATTGAATGGCCTCTTGATGAAGGCAGCATCCTGCAAAGCCGGACAATGAATGGTCCGGAGACTGCAGCACCATCCTAGGTCAAGGGCACCCTTGAGAGAGGAGATGGGGCAATCGCTAAAGATAAGCATCAGTTGGATCAATATTTTTAAGACCACAAAGTATAACAGGTCTTGTACTCAGTGTGAGAGAGGGGATCGTAATTTAGACAGAAGATATTATATAAACCCAAATAATTGCAATACCAGGCAACTTAAGATACATGCCTCAGAGAGCAGTGAATAAAGGGCCATGCAAGGAGAAATGAGGAAGCAGCCCTATCCAATTAGAAGAATGAGAAAAGCCTTTCAAGAAGCAGCGATGTTCTGTTCGATCAAGGCCTGGAGGGCGGCCAGAGCATGAACCACAGGGTTTCCTGTGTAGGGACAGCAGCAACACAGTGCG